TTTTTTTTTTTTTTTTTTTTTTTTTTGTGGAACTTTTAACATGAGCTTATTTAAGTAATACACTATCTTTTTATTTAAATATTGTAATAATTAAAAATTAAGTAAATGTTCTAATAATTAAAAATTAGATATGTGCATTGGTATAATAATTTATAGTTTTTTTAAAAAAATCAATAATGACTGATAAAATGGCAAAATTTTCAAAGTTTTTAGTCTTAGAATAACTAAGTGTTGGCATCTCTTATTATTTCTCTTAGGTTGCTCCTTCTTCTATGTGATCTTGGCTAGGGAAATTTTCATGCCACATCAAGTTCTTAAGCTTACACGCCTCTTTATCAGGCGACCTAGGTCCATGACGGGAGAACGGTCTATCCTTAGTCCTCACAAGCCTATAAGTTGTTCTTGTGGTTATTTCGGGCATCAAAACAACATATTTGTGCTAAAACTTCCTTCATTCTCTCAACTTAATATCCCAATGAGGATATCTATAAGAGGGATATTCAACGATCTTAGTCATATCGGCCCTCATATCCATTCACTAGTCACCCTATCCCGTCAACTCTAAAAATCTTCATTCATGGTGTGGTTACTTCTCTATCTTCGTAGGTCACAAAATATTGAAATGCTTTTGCAAGTTCTCTTATAATTCCTTCTCAACATACTCAAAATCTACATTGATCCTAAAAATCTTGAAATCCATCGTATTGACGTATTAAGTCATTCCTTAACTAGCATACGAGTTTATCCCTTTCGTTCTTGTACGAGCTCTTCCTAGTGTATCACTTGGTTTTTGTTGAGGCCTAACCTAGCCAATGTGACGAAGGTCCTCCATTCACAAGTCTTTATCTCTTACATGATCTTTATCCACTTAGTTTGATCTAGACACACTCTCATGTTATTGTCCTGTCATGCCACCGAAAGTAGGCTCTTTCAATCCTAACCAAATTTTGGCACTACCTGGGTCTATTGTGGTACGATAGCTCCTGGGCCTCCTCCCTCATATCACATCAAGCTATTTCAATCCTAACCAAATCTTGGCACTACCTAGGTCTATTGTGGTATGATAGCTCCTGGGCCTCCTCCTGACATTAGCGAATTTATACTACCAACTGCATCTGTGGCATTTGTAGTTTAATAGTGACGAGCTTATGTCTATTCATAAGAAGTTTCTTTCTCAATTGGATAAATACCTTGCGTTCCAAATGTTCACCTCTGTTGTTCCCTTAATCATGTATGGTAGTGCCTTTGCATCCTTAATACAACCATTACGAGTGTTGATTCAAATTCCTGAATTGGTATCTACATTCAACTTTTATCATAACACGAGGCATAGCAAAAAATTTCATGTGTTGTACCTATATATCCGGTTAGTTTTCTCCTTCCAAATTGACATCATCTTTCATGACATTGTAGTCTTGTTGGCATACTTGCCTATTGGAACTTATCCGGTGTGTTTTTCTGTAATAACCCAAACATAAATAAACAAATAAAAATAATTATAAAAAATAGTTAAAATAATAATAATAAATAAACAAAAAAAACATCATTTTATCTCCACTAACCTCTCATCCATTCCCACAATTATCTTTTCTCAACTCATCCTCACACTAGGAAGTAAGCTAGGAAGTAACCGTTACTCCAAAAAGAAACGGAAAAACAATAATCGTCAGATTTGATAAAAAAAAAATGAGAATGGTCTTTATCCGAGTGAGATTCACCCGATGAATAAGGTATATATTAAATCTTCATTTTCTTTTATCCTATTTTTTTTTTAAATCACAGCCGATCTCAATTATTACAATGGTTTAGTTTGATTTAGAAACTAAATGTCAATCATTTATACGAATTCTACCAAATCAGGTCAGATTAGTAATATTAGATTAAATTTATATAGTAGTCAAATGAATAGACTAAAAATAAATGACCAAGAAAATTTGTTAACAGTAAACACTCAAGTAAACACTCAGATAATAAAAAATTTGGAAACCTAATAGATTAAAAAAAATTAAGGAATTAAAAACCACAAACTAAATAGAGAAAGAAAGGTAAATACAAAGAGTAGTAAAACCTAAAATAACTTGAAATAGGTGTATCTATATTTTTATAAATAGTAACTATGGAAAATAAAATTTTTAATAAAAATATAATTACATACATATAACATTTCAAGACTTTTAATAATAGAGAAATAATTTTGTAGATTTCAAACTTGAAACTGATGTCATGAGCTCACATAGGTTGACTCGGATTTCAAAGGACGGAATCGAACTTTCATTAAAGATATATTCGTGACAACGACTTAAGCTAGCCAAGTAAGTGGTCTTACTATCAGCATAGTTATATTTGATGTTGACACGTACCTGTGGTTTTGCACGTATCATATATACTGATATGTGTGAATTATCTGTTAATCGGTATGCTTATATTATATTTATGTTATGTTATAATATGTGAATTGTATAATAATAGTTATGGTACGATGTGTTCAATGATAGGTTTAAGATAGGATACGAGAAGGATGCACGAAACAAAATGTGACGATAGGAGTAAGATATGTTCATGAAACGTTAAGGTTAGGTTACATACCGGAGTGCTATGGATAGGAGAGATTGATGAAAGAATACGGTTAGGTTATGGGTAGGAAGGGATAGGTTTGTGATAGATTGATAGAATGATAGCGTTAGGATACGTTCCTGTAATGATATCACTAAAGTACGTTCACGTAACGATAGGACTGTGATAGGTATAAGAACGTTAAGGCTATGATAAGTTAGGGAACGATATGACCACGAAGTGCTTACGATATTCAATGTTTATGATGCGATATATTGTGATGTGATGTGATGTGATGTGTCATGTTTAGATTGTTTTGTGTGACCATTGAGGAAATTGTTATATGAATTGCACGTTATGAAATGACATGTTAAAAGCATGGAGCGTTGTGTTATGTTTTCTAAATTGTATGTATACAACATGTTATGAATGACATGATATCACGACAAATGAAATGAAATGTAATCCCGTTAGGATTATGTATGATACGTAGACTGAAAATGAGAAATGACATGCTAAGCATGAAAGATGACAGTGGGATTATATTCATTAATGATAAAAGTAAAATATTGGGGACCTCATGCGTTATGTGTGCTCATGCATTTGGGGGATACCCCTATTCTATCACGAGGGTACGAACGCATACATCCAATGGTAGGACAACGATCGTTATGTTTGCATAGCGCTGCCATGATGGTGACTAGTTTTAACGGGTGTCCGGCCTAAGGAGCTCCCAGAGTATGCTCGCCGGACAAGGAAAGTGGCCCAGCGGTATACGAACTGACTGGTGAGTCCATACTCGCATGTATGGACTGTGTAGAGTATATGGTACACGTCAAAATTACCGATTAGAACAGCACCATAGGAAGACAGATTGAAAGATAGGTCCCATCATCTCGTTTGCATGTGATTGTTGCATTTAACTCCAATAGTGGAGTCACTTATTGAGTATTTCTTTAAATACTCAAGCCATGTGCTACTACATTTTTCAAGTTAAGGCAAGACATTCCTGTATGGCTAACGACAGCATCGCAACTCGAGACCATGGCACATGCATAGGATAGTGGTATTTATTTTCTTAGACTTAGGCTAGAATAGGATGTTTTTAACTTAAACGCTTATTTATTTTATTTAGTGTTTTGTTGTGTCGTTTTAAAGATGTTTTCGAAACACGTAAGACCATGACTGTGTTTTAAGTTAAAGATTATGTTTTATGGAATTTAAATGAAATCTTCCACATTCAATGTTTATGGTACGTATACAATAGCAACCTTAAATTAAGTAAAAAATTTCAGGTTGTTACATTTTTCAAGTTCTGTACCCACTTATTGTACTTTGCTTAGGCTACTAAAGAAAAACCTACTCCCATGTCGTGCCTCTCTCAAGCATGGTTAGAATGACTTATGACCTAGACTTCGTTAGATTATGATCCCATGAATACAACGAAGCGTTGCACGAGGTGGTAGGTCGCCAACTGAGTTCGATCCTATCCATGATTCTTCTCAAAGAGAGGTATTATAAAGATGCAAATTTGAATTATAATATTTTGGTTAAAAATAAAGATTTAATATATTTATGAAAAAAAAACTAACTTTTTAGTAAAATATAAAATTGATAAAAGACGTGCACAACTAATAATAATCGACGGTGCATTTAATTAGTTATTTATATATTGGCAGCCTCGAGATGAAAAGACGATTCTACCCTCCATGGCTATTTATGACTGAAGCAGACTAATCCCGGAAAGGACGGCAGAACCGGAATGGCATCTTTGAGAGAGAATGACGAATATACCCCTGGAAGGAGGGTTCTTCGAAATGACATAGCCTGCAAATCCGCATCAGCGTGTAACCACTCTTTTCATTATTATCTGTAACTTAGTTGGCGTCCATGGCCGCTCCTTCTCCGAAGTCCCCATTGACCTTCTTCTTCTTCTTCTTTACTCTTCAGTCTTCCCCCCCTATATATCATCCCCCTCCCCACTCCCCCTTCTTCAGCTCAAACTCAAGCCCTAATTCCTAATCCCTAATTCCCAATCCCTAATTCCCAATCCCTAATTCTATCTCGCTTTCTTACTCCGATGGCGTTTGTCGCAGACCAATCCGGATTCGAGGACTGGCTACCGAAGATGGCGGAGAGGCTGGGCGGCGAGGGGCTGATCGGGGAGCTTTGCAATGGATTCAATCTTCTGAAGGACAGAGAGAAGGGGGTGATTGATTTCGAGAGTCTGAAGAGAAACGCGGCGGCGCTAGGGCTGGCGGATCTGAGCGATGAGGATCTGAGAGAAATGTTGAGGGAGGGGGATTTCGACGGTGATGGCGCTCTCAATCAGATGGAGTTTTGTGTTCTTATGTTCAGATTGAGCCCTGAATTGATGGACGAGTCCTGGTTCTTGCTCGAGGATGCTCTAAACCAAGAGTTTAAGGGCTTCTGTTGATTTTTCTTTTTATTTTGTAATTATTAATTACTGATTTATTTACTTCACTTATTGAATATACAGGAAAACAAAAAGCCATTAAGCCATTAACTTGTGTTGCAATTTTTAGCTTTCAAATTATATGCTTATAATTTAGACATACATTAATTAAAATTTTATGATTTGTTTGTAGGTGAAATAATAGATCAATTTCAAATTCTAATAACACCAGTGAATCAACCAACATCGGTTAAGAGTTTATATTAAATAATAAAATGTATACATTAAAAATATTCTTTTATATGATTGTTTTTTAAAGGAATAACAAATGGAAAAAACTCCGTGTGAGGAACCCAATTTGCTCTAATTCTAGCAAAATTTCTTGTCGGGTAAGTTCCGACCCGCACGGAAGATGTAATGATCTGGGCACTGTCCCAGAGAAAGACTCGGTGAAATAGACATGTCTGTGAAGATGCAAATCGGTGAAAATAGACATGTCTGTGAAGATGCAAACTACCTGCACCCGGACAAAAAGACCCATGAAGTTTCACTATTCCCTGGAATTCGCTTTGGGCTTTTCCTGCGTAGCATAGGTGGAGGGTGAAGAAGGCTCCCGAAATAGACATGTCTGTGAAGATGCAAATCGGTGAAAATAGACATGTCTGTGAAGATGCAAACTACCTGCACCCGGACAAAAAGACCCATGAAGTTTCACTATTCCCTGGGATTCGCTTTGGGCTTTTCCTGCGTAGCATAGGTGGAGGGTGAAGAAGGCTCCCTTTCGGGGGGCCTGAGCCATCTGTGAGATACCACTCCGGAAGAGCTAGAATTCTAACCTTGTGTTTGGCCCGTACTTGAAGATGCAAACTACCTGCACCCGGACAAAAAGACCCATGAAGTTTCACTATTCCCTGGGATTCGCTTTGGGCTTTTCCTGCGTAGCATAGGTGGAGGGTGAAGAAGGCTCCCTTTCGGGGGGCCTGAGCCATCTGTGAGATACCACTCCGGAAGAGCTAGAATTCTAACCTTGTGTTTGGCCCGTACTTCACTTACCCTAGGGTTGGCTTTAGGCCTTTCCTGCGCAGCGTAGGTGGAGGGCAGCCCCTGTTTCCTGGGATTCGCTTTGGGCTTTTCCTGCGTAGCATAGGTGGAGGGTGAAGAAGGCCCCCTTTCGGGGGGCCTGAGCCATCTGTGAGATACCACTCCGGAAGAGCTAGAATTCTAACCTTGTGTTTGGCCCATACTTCACTGTACCCTAGGGTTGGCTTTAGGCCTTTCCTGCGCAGCGTAGGTGGAGGGTAGCCCGTACTTCACTGTAACCTGGGATTGGCTTTAGGCCTTTCCTGTGCAGCGTAGGTGGAGGTCAAAGAAGGCCCTCTTCCGGGGGGCCCAAGCCATCAGCGGAGATAGCACTCCGGAAGAGTTAGAATTCTAACCTTGTGTTAGGACCTACGGGCCAAGGGACTGCAAGAATCTTTGTCATGGTCCCTGCAAAAATAAATAGAAAATTTCATAGGGATAGAAAATGAAATAGGTGGCAGGGATGCTTCTCCATCCCGCCCCATCTTGTGAAGATGTCTAATTGATAGGTTGCAATTGAGCAAACTTGTTTGGTAAACCCAATTTGATTATTTCATTAATGTTAATTAATTATATATATATATTATATATATTAAAACTAATTGATTTTTTATTCTTATTTAATTTAATTTTAGAGTTTATTTATTTATTTTTTACTTGATAAAATAAAGTTTCATCGAGTATTTTATTTTTTGGAAGACTTGTTTTTTATTAGTTTGAAGCTGTTTAAAGAATTTATAACCAAAAACTATAATGATCTAAATTATAAAAATATAGTTTAAGAAAAAGAACTTAAAAACTTACTTTTTAACTAAATAAAATATAACATAAAATTATTATATACTCATTACCTTGTAGGTTAACTCAATGAGCTTATAACATTGCATAATATTGTAGCAATGCTAAAACATTCCATGACCACCAAGGTAGGTTCGGGACGTTGCTTAGAGTGTCACAATGCTACCGAAATAAAGAAAAGGGTGGAAAATATGCTCGGTTTAGAGACAACATCTTAACACTATCTTATTTTTATATAAAAACATGTTTCTTAAAATTGCTGGAGGGACTTCTCGGGATTCAAACACCAAATACATCAAAAACGGCATTTGAGAGACTTTGAGCACTTCTATAGAAGTTACGAAAATGATTTCAAGGCTTGATGTGGATATTACACTAGGAATGGGAGATCGACACGATGAATATAATTTTATTTCTAACATCTTCTTAGTATAGATATGGATTTTAGTCTAAATATTTGTGGTTCTTTTGTCGAAGAGTTTGCCCCTCCATCTGTGGAAATCGGAAATGAGTCCAATCCTGCTTGTTTGTTGTTCGTCTGCCAAGTTTAGACGAGATTTTTGACCAAAAAGTGTGCACCTTTCTTTTTTTTTTTTTTCAAAAAAACTTGATAGAATGGCCAAGTACTTTTGGGTAAACAATTTTTGTCAAAATTTATCTTTTTTTTTTTTTTTTTTTTTTTTTTTTTTTTTTTTTTTTTTTTTTTTTTTTTTTTTTTTTTTTTTTTTTTTTTTTTTTTTTTTTTTTTTTTTTTTTTTTGTTCTTGATCATCGCCTCGCATGATCTAGATCTTAAAACAAAACTAATTTCAATAATAAATTCTATATAATATAAATATTATATGATGCTTCTACTGCATCATACTCTGTGAATGAATCAATGATCGAAGAGTCATCCGCTTGAAGTGGCTTATGATAGGTTTTAGTTATTATTTTGTGCACAAATTTAATACGTTTATGAATGCTAAATAAATAGTTGAAAAGTATTTGAAATATTCTAATATTCTAGTCCAATAATTTTAAATTTAGAAGTCTCGTTACTTTATCTTTTATTTCTTAAAGCATCTCTTTAGAAAAGGAACACCTTTGGGAGAAAATAAATTTGTTTGAGAAATAAAATTTTAAAATTGATTTATATTTTCATTTAAATTTATATTATTGGTTGATACAGCTATTTTAATCTATATATATTTTAATATCAAATATTTATAAGTCATGACTCATCGTTAACATTAGTTATAAAAATATGGTAGGATTGGATTGAATTGCACCTTATTTTTCAGAGATTAACTCAACAAAAAAATAATAATAATAATAACAACTTACACACCAAACTAATTCAATTTTAAAAAAATTCAATCCAAGCCAACCCAACGTTCATGATTTTGGTTGGGTAGTTTAACTTGGTGGAAACGTCGAGTCACATGAATAATTCTATTAATGTGTCGGTTTTTATAGTCAACTTTGACCAATGCTACAAATAAAGTAAATATATTTTTACGCCATAGAAATTTGATGCCTTTCCTTTATCGTTCATTTTTCAACACGTAAGTATCAATCATTGTTACTCTATTTCCATACATTTTCAACCCAATTGAAATATTCACATCTACCGTGCAAGTTTTCAACCAAAACACCAGCACTTAATAATGGAGACACAACCCAAAGTTGAAACCATATAAAAACATTTATTTCAAACAAACAATAATAGTACGAAAATTTGAAAACAGATGATCTACTCAATATAAAATTGTAAGTTTAGTATTTTATTAGATATAACAATTTTTAAAAAAATTTAAAATTTTCGATGCTCTGGCAGATATAAAATTGAAAGTGGGATAGTTCCGAACGTCTTTCAATAATTTTAGTTCTACTTTTATTCTCGGTTCGAATCTTAATGTTCCATCTTCTCTAACCTGCATTAGTTTATTTTATTAGTCAGAGCCTTATTTGAGAAGAATAGAATTTTCAGATTAGGAGCACGACCACAAAAATGTTTTTTTTTGGGTTAAAAATCATTTTGAATAATCAAATTTGGTTAAAAAAAAAAGGTGATCAAAAGCTTAAAATGGAATAAAACATATAAAATATTTAATTAAAACAAATATATAAAAAAAGTGTTTTTTTTTTAAATAAAAAAGTGTTTTAAAAGGTATGCCAAACTAATATTTAATTTTATCTAAATGACAATGACAAATCAATATGGATACATGAATATAACTTTAAAATCATAAAATTAAAATCTAAAATGCTTTAAACGAAAAAATAAGTTACAATTTTTTATTAATATATTATAATATTTTAATTAATTAACAATATGATTTCTATGATAAGTTGGTGTAATTTCAATGGGGATTCAAAGAGTTTGTTTCTTTAATTATTATTTTACTTTTTCTTCACAAAAATATTATTATAAACTTATCAAAAATATGGGGAAAGGTTAAGTATATTTTTGAAATATTTTAAAAATGAAATATTATTGATTTTGTAAGAGCATTTTTAAGAGTTTAAGATTATTTAAATTTTTTTATATATTAAATTTAAGGAAATTATTAAAAGTTTAATATATATTTTAAGAGTAATTTTTATTAATTTAGCAGCCAAAAAAAAAAAAAAAAAAAAGGACGATGGGGTTGGCGCGAAGACGAGGAAAAATTTAAGACGACAAAAGGGAAGGCAGGTGAAGAACATTTCCCACCTCTCTTTCCCAAAATTCCTTTACGTTCGTTGAAATGGTAAGACGAATACGCCAAGAAGTTTCGATTCTGCTTCTCTTTTCTCCTTCTTATTGCTTCCTGTTCCGTCATGGAAAACGACCCACAAACCATCCCCCCGTAATTGCTTCTGTTTTAAGCTTTCATTGGATCTTTCCCTGACCGTTTTGAATCTCCGCGACGAATTCGTTTCCAGGTATTGAGGCTGTCTCTTGCTAATCGTCTAATCTTTCTATGCATCTGATTCCGTTATCTTTATTGTGATTTCGTTTTTTGATGGTCGAGTTCTTTTGCTTCTACGTCTCGGACATTTGGGCTTTTGATCAATTTCTATTTTGATTCCTAATTTTGGGGGGTTCTGTTCTTTTTACGTTTCTAATGGCTGGAAATTGAAGTTTCTGCTCTTTTTCTGAGAGATGGAGGAATTCTTTTTTGATTTTCTGTCTCCTTCTGCGTACAGAGTTAAAGGGAAGTATGTTCATGTCCTAAAAGGTCCTACAATTATTTCCTTTGGGCTCTG